ACAGCTTGACTGACAAACGAAGTTTATCTAATTTTTTCTACGGTGGATATATCTGTGAAAATTATTTGAGAAATATAATGTCACCGCCTTTTTTATATATATATTTTTTTTAACTCCCCAGTAAAAATTTAGAAAAATATCCTCAATAATCTAATTTTTTCATTGAATTTTAGGCACTTTGGCTTTAAATTTATTATAGTTATCACTCTTATTTTTTGATAATGTCGTGTATGGACGTCCGTATTTACAAAAATCAGCACGTTTCTACACATTCTTTAAAAAATATTGTGGGGGACGATGAATAATAATTAATACAGAAATATTTTAAAATATTTAAAACTTTATAATTTATTCTAATTAAAATTAAAAAAAAAACAACATCTGAAAACGCTTCTTGTAAAAATTCATTATCCATCCAAAGTTTGTTCTTAATAAAATAGTGATCATAATATATATTATTCATAAAAGTAATTAATAGCTTTTCTAATTAAATAATATCTTAGTTTTATTGCATTTTTAATTTTTCCATTTAGAACAGATTTTCAGTAACTGGAAGTTCTGTTTTGCAAAATTAAATTGATGATATCAATTCTCCAAGGACTTGTCCTTATAACTAATATAGACACTGCAAAGAATAATTTCTCAAAATTTCATAAAATTCAATAAGTGAAGGGGTAAAAAATGTCTTTAGCAAGATTAACTAAAAGTTCATATGTCTAAAACAATTCATTTGTGAATAAGTCCTGAAAGTTTAATTAAAATCCGCCAATTATTTAATTTTATCAAGAATTTTTAAATGAATGATTTTCATCGCAAAAAACACACTAAAATTTCGTATACTAATCTTTGACGCCATGCCGACGCTAACCAAAAAGGATTTTAAACCAAAACCCCAATGTCCTAAAAAGTATAAAAAAATTATTAATAATAATAATAATAATAATAATAATAATAATAATAATAATAATAATAATTGTTATTAAAGATCGCAAACAAAAAAATTGTTATTAAAGACCACAAACAAAGACGGTGCCTCTTTATTGATATGGCAGTCCCTGCTGACTGCAATGTATCTTTGAAGATATTCAAAAAGTTGTCAAAATACAAGGACTTTGAAATAGAAATCTCGAAAATGTGGCATATGGGAACATCAACAATCCCTGTTGTAGATGGAGCCCTAGGACTGGTTGGAAAGATTCCATTAGACTAATTGAAGGGATTCCTGGAAGCCCATGCCTCAAGGAGATACAAAAAATTGTTCCGACAAGTACAGCCCACACTTTACTTTTTTTTTTGTCAGTGGAGAGTGTCATGCCATTTCTAATCTTATGTACCTGGACGGGACCCGGAAAGAAATGTGTAAACGCCAGAAATCAAAGGAAATAAAAACAACAACAACAACAATAATAATAATAATAATAATAATAATAATAATAATAATAAAATCCTTTGGCCTTTCCTCGTCATAATAACATAAAGATTTTTATTAAGTTTGGGACATTTTTTCATCATGGTATACTCATATTTTAGCGAATAAGTGGAAGTAGCACACGCACACACATACATACACACACACACATATATATGCGTGTGTATGTGTGTGTGTGTGTTTGTGAGAGAGAAAAAGGAACTATTTATTGCCAGTTTTATAGCTTTGAGTATGGTATAGTTGACTGAAACATACACACACACACTTACACGCACACACTCACACACACACGCTCATAAATATATATCCTGAATTGCATTTAATTGGCAACAACATATTAATTTATACGAAAGAAACAACAGCTAAGAGAAAGAATGAAAAAATTCCGTATTGTCCCAAATCACACAAGTGCATTTATGAGAAATCTAAACATTTGGCCATAAATTATTTTTATTTGTTCTCGTTTGCCTTTTTCACGATTTACTTTTGTCACGCGTGACTTTCTCCGTAACGCCATTCGTGCCTATCATCATGGCCGACGGATTTCGCATATCTGTTCCTCTTTTGTCCGGCTTTTTGTTCTTGGACTCGCTTTCTCCTCTTATTAGTGATGCTATTTCCGCAAAAAGAAACGAAATTCCTTTCGGAACGATAAGTAAAATAAAAAATAAGACAAAAAAAAAAAAAATGATATTATGAAAAGGAAAATAAAGTGAAATGGAGACAAAGAAACAGATGTGAACAAATTGTGAAATCTTAAGAAGTGAATTTTGCACTTTGCTGGAGATAATAAAATTAAAGGAAAAAAAAAAAAATTGAATATAGAAATATTTACCATTTCGTAAAACCAAATGGAATTTAGTGTAGCGTCCCATGAAGAAGAAAACTCGAGGGTCACTGAAGAAGGAAAACAAATTAGATGAAAGAAATGCTCGTGAAAAAATAAAAATGTCTGACAGTGTTTTATCCAATAATAAATAGAATAATAGAATGAGAAACTGAATCGTTGCAACAAGAAGAAATTAATATGAAAGAAATACTAATAAAAAATGAATAATGATTCGCAATCTTACAATATAATATTAAAATAGTAATACAATAATAGACAGTAGTTGCAATGAAAAATAATTGAAATTAATATGAAAGAAATACAAGTTAAAAATGAATAATGTTTAACAACGCTTCATCTAATAATAAGATAATGATAAAATACCACATTGAGTAGTTGCAACAAAATGCAATTGAAATTTATATGAAAGAAATACGAGTAAAAAAAATGAATAATAGATATAATACAAAAGGATTGGATCATTCTACAAACTGACGTCAATTTATGTCAAGTAACTGTAGGAGTTCATCCTGGGTATGACGATAAACTACACCCGGCAGCAAAGCCACTGACCAGGAGGTTTTGGGGAGCGCGGAACCTCCTCTTAATTGATGTTGTTCCCAGGTCCAACCTGACCAAGAGATGGTAGCATCTGTTAGGATCCAAGCTATGGGCAAATACATAACCCCTAAATTTCATAGTGAAAAAAAATTACCAGTAATATTTGTTAGAAAAAAGGAAATCTCACCAGCAGTACATTTGACTCTCGGCAAAAATCATCTTTACAGAAATACGTCAATGAATACATACTTTATTCATACGAACCTATCCTAAAAATCTTGTCCGCATTAAATAACCCACTGAGGTTGATATGCCGGAAAAAAGAACAAACCAAACCAATATATACTGAGATAGATAGATAAAAATTATTACCAGCAATAAAAATCTTGTCGGCATTAAATATCCCATTGAGGTTGATATGCCGTAAAACAAAATAAACCAAAGTAAACTGATTTCTTACAAAGAATACATATTCTATTCATATGAACCTATCATAAAAATCTTGTCGGCATTAAATAACCCATTGAGGTTGATATACCGTAAAACAAAATAAACCAAAGTAAACTGATTTCTTACAAAGAATACATATTCTATTCATACAAACCTATCCTAAAAATCTTGTCCGCATTAAATAACCCACTGAGGTTGATATGCCGGAAAAAAGAACAAACCAAACCAATATATACTGAGATAGATAGATAAAAATTATTACCAGCAATAAAAATCTTGTCGGCATTAAATATCCCATTGAGGTTGATATGCCGTAAAACAAAATAAACCAAAGAAAACTGATTTCTTACAAAGAATACATATTCTATTCATATGAACCTATCATAAAAATCTTGTCGGCATTAAATAACCCATTGAGGTTGATATACCGTAAAACAAAATAAACCAAAGTAAACTGATTTCTTACAAAGAATACATATTCTATTCATACAAACCTATCCTAAAAATCTTGTCTTCATTAAATAACTCATTGAATTTAATATGCCGTAAAAAAAAAAAAAAAAAAAAGTAAAAAACAAACCCAAAGCAAACTGATTTCTTACAAAGAATACATATTATGTTCATACAAACCTATCCTAAAAATCTTGTCAGCATTAAATAACGCACTGAGGTTGATATGCCGGAAAACAGAACAAACCAAACCAATATATACTGAGATATATATATATATATATATATATATATATATATATAGATAGATAGATAAAAACTATTACTAGCAATAAAAATCTTGTCGACATTAAATAACCCATTAAGGTTAATATGCTGTAAAACAAAATAAACCAAAGCAAACTGATTTCTTACAAAGAATACATATTCTATTCATATGAACCTATTTTTAAAATCTTGTCGGCATTAAGTAACCCATTGAGGTGTTGATATGCCGTAAAATAAAATAAACCAAACCAAATTCTACATGGGCTACTAGTTCCATCTAAACCAGTATGACCTACCGCATGTTCGGGTCATCTGCGACGATACCGGCTTTCACGCTAAGCTTTCCCGGTAGAGAATGGGGCTAGACACCCAGCACGATTTAAACCGCGCACAGTCAAAGGTTTAATGGACCTTCTCGTGGAGGTAAACTGGCATCTAGCAGCGGCATAAACTGGGCTCTATAGATATGCATGCAGTCAGCACAGTGATGATATGACATCGTAGGGATTTCTAGAATGGAATCAACGGCCACGTGTGCGTGACCAAGGCCGACCTTCCAGTCGCAGGGACATTAGCTGTGGTCTGAATTGGAGAGGTATTGGTTCTATCAGGTCGACTTGCCTAATAACCGCTGCGCATGAATGGATAACCTTTCAACCCAGATATAGGGAGAGAACTGGCTAGGGGCTCATCTGCGCAGCCACCCTGCAACCACACCCGGTCATAGGACTGATGATGATGATGATGATGATGATGATGATGATCAAAAAAAAGTTGGGGGAGCATTTTCAAATTGATTCAACAGGAGAGATTAGGGGAGTCGACAATATAGTTTCGGTGCTTATGCTTTGTATTGGGGGAAGATATTGTACCGGCGAATATGGAAGGGCCTTGTTCAAGAATATAATTTAGAGTACCATAACTCACGCTAACTGAAAAAGGTTGAGAGGTAACTTACGACAATAGACATGAGGCTTTGTTAAAGTGGTAGGTAGAATTTATTGACGCTTTGCCTTAAAGAAAGAAAGAAAGAAAGAAAGAAAGAAAGTAAGGAAGAAAGAAAAAGTAAAGAAAGAAAAAGCAAAAAAAAATAAAAGGAGAAAGACTGGAAGGAAGGAAGAGAGGAAATAAATAAATATAGATAGATAGATAGATAGATAGATAGATAGATAGATAGATAGATAGATAGAAGGGATGAAGGAAGAAAGCAATAGAAAAAAGAGAGAAAGAAAGAAGAAAGAATAGAAGAAAGAAAGAAAGAAAGAGAGAAAGAAAGAAAGAAAAAGGGGAAAGAAATAATTTAAATGGAAAGAAAGAAAAGAAGAAAGACTAGAAGGAAGAAAGGTAAAAAGAAAAAAAACAAAGAAAGAAAGAAAAAAGAAAGAAAGAAAAAGTACAGAATGCAAAAGCAAAGAAAGAATCTAAAAAAGACTAGAAGGAAGAAAGGAAGGAAGGAAGGAAATAAGGAAAGCAGGAAGGAAGGAAGAAAAAAAGAAAGAAATTGAAAGAAAAATCGATAGAGAGAAGGAAGGAAGAAAAAAAATAGAAAGAAAAGAGAAAAAGAAAGTATAGGAGAAAGAAAGAATGGGAGAAAGAAAGAAAAAAATGAGAAATAAAGAAAGAAAAAGCGCGAAAAAAACAACGAAAAAGGAAAGAAAGAAAGAAAGATAGATAGAAGGAATGAACGCAAAAAGGAAGGTAGAAAGAAAAAGCAAAGAAAATGAAGAAAGAAAAGAGGAAGAAAAGAAAGAATGAAAGAAATAATGAAAGCAAGAAAGAAAGGAAGGAGGCAATGAAGGAAGGAAGAGAGAAAGAAGAAAGACGTCATCAATAAACAAAGTCAGTTCTTTTTTAAATTATTGGTCAGAGAACACTCTAAACAAACAAATGGCCATAAACGATTCTTCTTATTCAAAGTGTATTTCGTTTTTTTAAAGACAAAACCAAATAAATGCAAAAAGCTTTCAGATTTGAACTTGTCATTCTAATTCAGGAATCTTGATTTGAAACAACCACTCAATCACACCTGCTATTCGCCTACAATTCATTCCTTTTTTTTTTTCTTCTGAATTTTTAGTTGAGAAGCCAATGGAAAAAATATACAAAAATCACTTCTTTACTATAATTTACAACTTCTATTTTCTTTTTTTTCTTTTTTTACTTTTCGTCTTCTTCGTCTTTTTGTTTCTTTGGTCGCCTTTGTATTGTTTCTTTTGAATAGTTTCTCATTTATATCTTTACAGGTAAAAGGCAACAATGTCCCAGCTTACAGAAGCCACCACCATCAGCATCTTTTTGGATACGAGCATAATAAAGAATTGCCAGTCGATGCGGGTCTCGTTAAGAATCCGTCAGGCAAAAATTATATATATATATATATATATATATATATATATATAATGTGTGTGCGTATTGCAAAGGGAGAAAGAGAGAGAAAAAAGAGGGAGAGAGAAGTGGAGAGAGTAGCAGATATTGAGGCTTTTAATTTAATGAAAATTCACAGATCGATACAGGGATGACGTTGATTTTGCTATATTTTTTTCTGTTTGTTTCGTGGTAAAATAAAAACTGACAAAGAAAAAAGAAATGAAAAAAAGAAAAGAAAAGAAATTGTGTTAAAGAGAGAACAGTGCAAGAGAGAAAGAGAGTCAAGTAGAAAAGGAGGGTAGCTGAAAAAGAGAAAGTCAGACAGAAAGAGGGTGAGAGAAAAGAGAGTGATGGACAAAACGAGAAAAAGGGCGTGACAAAGATATATATATATATATATATATATATATATATATATATATATATAGAGAGAGAGAGAGAGAGAGAGAGAGAGAGAGAGAGAGAGAGAGAGCACACGCGCGCTTAGGGATAAAATGTTCCAGAAAATTTCAAAAGAAGAAAGTATGACTAGATAAAATGAATTTTATATATATATATATATATATATATATATATATATATATATATATATGTATATGGCAAGATTATATATATCTATCAATCTATTTATCTACAAAGTAAAATAATATATATATATATATATATATATATATATATATATATATATATATGGTATTGGCTTCTATGTCCACTGATACTGAGTACTTTAATCCATAAATATGGCATATCTTTAGACTATACTTCATTATATATATATATATATATATATATATATATATATATATATATATATATATATAACGAAATGGTGACAGTTATTTTTATTTTCTTTTTATACTTTATTTTACAGATACAAATATTTAAGTTAAAGTTCTCTTTATAAAAAATATTCATAGCGTATAAAAAATATATATATATATATATATATATATATATATGTTATATATATATATATATATATATATATATATATATATATATATATATATATATATATATGTTCCGTAATATTATATATTTATATATATATATATATATATATATATATATATATATATTTCCCGTATATATTATATATATATATATATATATATATATATATGTTCCGTAATATTATATGTATATATATATATATATATATATATATATATATATAGATAGATAGATAGATAGATAGATAGATAGATAGATAGAGAGTGAGATAGACGACGTGAGCAGGTGATGCACAGAGGGAGAGGAAGTGTGATAGAGAGGAGCAGAGATTTACTTTTATTTACGGACCTGTGTGCCACTGACGAGCGTCTATTTTCTTCTGTCAGTGGCACGTGGTCAGGCAACTCATTAGATTGACAGTCAAGCTTCGTTTCAAGTGATTCAAGAGAGACATTTGCTTCAGCCTGACTGAATCGCAAAGCCATTTATTTTTGCTTTCTCTCTGCTGCTGTTTTTTCTTTGCATTAATTCAATAACGAAACGCTTTCCATTTCTGGCTTTCCCGCTTTTAATTTTATCTTCATTTTCTTGTCTTTCAGATTTCCACAGTCATCATCATCATCAATGCCATCAGCATGATGATGATCATCATCATCATCACCATCATCCACATCGCGATCATCATCACGAACATCATCATCATAAACATCATCATGAACATCATCATCATCACCAACATCCGCATCATGAACATCATCATGAACATCGTGATCATGATCATCATCAACATGATCATCATCACCAACACCCAAATTATTATCATCATCATCATCATCATCACCAACATCCGCATCGAGATCATCATCATGAACATCATCATCATAAACATCATCATCATGAACATCATCATCACCAACATCCGCATCATGAACATCATCATGAACATCGTGATCATGATCATCATCATAGACATCATCATCATCATCATTATCACCAACATCCGCATCGAGATCATCATCATGAACATCATCATCATAAATATCATCGTCATGAACATCATCATCACCAACATCCGCATCATGAACATCATCATCATAAACATCATCATCATGAACATCATCATCATCATCACCAACATCCGCATCATGAACATCATTGTCATGAACATCATCATCATCAGCAACACCCAAATTATTATCATCATCATCATCATCATCACCAACATCCGCATCGAGATCATCATCATGAACATCATCATCATAAACATCATCATCATGAACATCATCATCACCAACATCCGCATCATGAACATCATCATGAACATCGTGATGATGATGATGATCATCATCATCATCACCACCAACACCCACATTATTATCATCATCATCATCATCAGCAGCATCACCAACATCCGCATCGGGATCATCATCATGAACATCATCATCATAAACATCATCATGAACATCATCATCATCACCAACATCAGCATCATGAACATCATCATGAACATCGTGATCATGATCATCATCATAGACATCATCATCATCATCATTATCACCAACATCCGCATCGAGATCATCATCATGAACATCATCATCATAAATATCATCGTCATGAACATCATCATCACCAACATCCGCATCATGAACATCATCATCATAAACATCATCATCATGAACATCATCATCATCATCACCAACATCCGCATCATGAACATCATTGTCATGAACATCATCATCATCAGCAACCGCATCATGAACATCATCATGAACATCGTGATCATGATCATCATCCACATCATCATCATCACCAACACCCACATTATTATCATCATCATCATCACCTACATCAGCATCACCAACATCCACACCAGCATTATGAAGATCATCAATCATCATTATCAATATCATCATCGTCACCAACATTCGCATCATGGACATCATCATGATCATGATCACCAACGCCAACATCATCAACATTATCATCACCAACAACTGCATCATGAACATGATGATGATGATCATCATATAACATCATCATCACCAACACCCACATCGTCATCATCATCATCACCATGAAAATCATCATCATCATTAACATCCACATCATGATCATGATCATCATTAACAACAACAAGAAGATCATCATCATTAAGATATGCAAGTGACGCCAATAATGAATCCTCGTAAGGCCTCGAATTCTCTCAGATTCGCCTCATTGCAAAGATCTAATAAGTCCGGCGAGAAGACACACCCTTGTCTTATGCTCCTTTCGATTTTTGTGCATTCATTCACTGCATTCATTTTTTTTATTCGTATGCAGGCGGTTTGATGCAAGTATAAATTCTGGATTATTCTAATATCTTTCCCCAAAAATCAATCTTACCTAAGAGTTCAAACAGCTCTAACATTCGCGGCTGACATGAAGTGGAAAAACTATAATGAAACCATTACTAGGTCAGCTGCCAAGAAAGTTGGTTCACTGTGCCGTGCTAGAATCTATCTTACATATCTATGTCTACCTTTGGTCGATTCCTTGAATATTGCGGCCAGATTTGTTCCAGCGCTCCTGCTGTATTTTTAGAAATTGTTAATAAAATCAAAAAAAGAATCAGCAATATTATAGGTCCTGACCTCGCATCTCAGCCACAGTCATTTTCCCACCGTCGTAACGTAGTTTCCCTGTGATTTTGGAAAGTCTGTAATTTGGATTTTTGGGTCGCATAGACTCTTAGCGAAAAGAGCAAAGCGAATGATTTCTATACGAAAACGTAAATTGTTTATGACTTAACGAATTTGAGCGAATGACTAGTAGGATAAGAACAAATAGGTAAAGGGTCAAAGGTTACTGATAAAATCAAAATCTTTGCAATGTTACTGATCCTGGCCTGGCATCTCGGTTTTAGTCCAATCCCCACTGATCTTCTCTGTGCCTTTTCTATAAATAATTTCATGGAAATTGTACTGACGAACAATACTTTATAACACCTAGAAATTATGAATTTAAGCATAAAACTAGATTGGCGGCAAGGTCCAATCATTTTACAATTGAAATGGCCAAATATGACCGTAAGTTCTATGCTAACAGTTTCTTCAATCGAACTTCTCGCTTGTGGGACTTACTTCTGTCTTCTTGATTTCTAGACACCTTTGATCTTCAAAAATCCAAATGCAATGTCAATCGTTATCTTCTGTCTTCTTAATTCTTGTTTTTTTATTGTCTTTTCTCTTCAGTAGTAGTTTTTCTCATATTCTATAACACTCAGTCACTACTTTGCGTCGTAGTGGCTTTATTGCCTTGCTTGGAGTGAAATGATTTAATAAAAAAAGAAAAAAAAGAGAAGGAATTTTTGGAAAACCATGATGACCGATATCCTGAATATCATCCTGGGTAAGACGATAAATTACATCTGGCAGCAAGACCTTTGATCAGGAGGATTTGAGAAGCATGGAACCACCTCTTAATTGCTGGTGTTTCCAGGTAGACCCTGAGCCGAGGTAGTAGCCC